TCAGGGATAACTGGACAAAAATAACAAAAAAAAAAACAAAACAAAAAAAAACACCAAAAATAATCAGCTTTTCCGGGGCTTAGCCTCCTGAAGTAATTGAAAGTTGTGTTATTTTGTGTTTGAGTTTGTCTTTTTGTGTGTGAGTGTCCCTTTTTACATACCTCATTATTTTTCAAATTTGTTGTATGTGTTTTTTGGTACCTCTGTTGAAACCATGATACTGTGACTTTTTTTGCTGCTCTTGAGAGGTGGACTGGAGCTGCATGGGTGTACAATGATTATGAAGTGAATAATAGTCCAAGATCTGTTGGAAAAAGGAGATGGATATAAAAGGGTAGATTTTGTTTTAATACTGTATCTATTGGCAATGTTTAAAATCTCATTACTATCTCAAAGATGAAGCAGGGATGATGGCTATGGCCTATTAAGTGTTATTTGTTAGATGGATATTGTCTAGTGATGTAACCTGACAGAATCAGGGTGATCAATATCTACCACGTCCTCAACAGCGAGGGATCTTTCTCATAATCAGAAGAGGATGAATTTAAACTGCACGTTTGCTAGAAGCACTGATGACAATTGTCACAGTTATAATATGCTGAGCTGTTGTGATTGCTTATCTAACAACAGTCATGAAAAGTGTTGCTTTTTAACACCACGTTAGCTTCCATGCCATGAAGACTCTGTAGTCTCTGTAGGTGTGGTTCTGTCTCTCCTTCACATCACACTAATGTGACTAAATAAGAGGTCTGTTTGCAGAAAGCTGGCTGTTTTTTGTTTGTTTGTTTGCTACTTTAGCATTCTCTCCTAAAGTTGTTGCAAGAAGCACTATGCTGCTCCAGAGGGTGTTTGTGTGTTTGCTTATTTATGCCATGTTGAAGCAGCAAACGAAAAGGAAATGCTGTTAAGAGTAATGTTCTTTCCCAAAGACCAGAAATTCGAAGATTGGTAAATCAGAAAAAAAAAACAAAAAAACAGAACAAATCATTATTTTCTGATAAAAAAAAAGGATTTAGAAACAATAGAGGTCTGTGGCAGGGATGGAAATTGGCACCAGAGCCACCTCCCAAATGCTGGTGATTTTGTGTTGTGGCTGGTAAACTCACTTCACCTGGCTAGCAGCCACCGTGACGGGTAAATAAAAGTAGCATGCTGTTTCACCCAGACACTTTTAGAGGAGGCACACCTTGAGACTTTACCCTATGGAATAACCGGCTTAAGTATTGTAGATCTTGTAGTATTCATTTTTACATGCAGTTACACATTGTCGGTAAAAAATAAGAAAGTGGCTGGTAGATTTTGCAATCCACCAGCAACAGTGGTCCATCCCTGGTCTATGGTATGTTTCAATTCAGTCAATCAAAAAAAAAAAAAAAGTTCACATTTGGATAAATAGGTAAAAAAAAATGCTGAATAGGGCTGGGTATCATTACATATTTCCAGATTTGATTCAAATTCTCGAACTGTCAGTTCAGTTCAATATGATGCTTATTTTCAGGCCATTGTCCTGTTGCACTACATATTCAATTATGTTGTGATTTGCTGCCATCTACTGGAGGATACATGCTGGCAGAATGGAAGATATTACCGTTCAAAAAGTTAGGAGTCTGTAAGATTTTTTTAGTTTTTTTTTTTAGAGGAGTTTGATATTTGAGCGCACAGGAACAGAGTGATGCGCATAAAATCAAACCTTAAAGACTGACAGGCAGTTAATCACACACCATTTTGCCTGTAATGCCAGCTTCTGACCAGCAGATGCCTCCCTTTCTCAATATGCTCAAACGTGTTTGTGTGGCGGATGAGAAGTGCTGATTAGATGGCATAAAGATTGCGCTGTCAACGGAAATATGACTGACAGCTGGTCTTAGGTGGTTGCTCAGATGTTTATCAGGTAATGATGTGCTGTGACACCCAGACAGAAGCAGCAACAGTTGCCGTGGGAGACGGTTAAGCGAAGTCTGAGATGGCACGTTCAGTTCACATTCACGCATGACCAAATAAATAGACAGACTTTGCTTCTGTTCCTTGTTTGCATGGTGACTCACACTCCTCATTCCTCCCACTCCTGCACTCAGAGATGGAGTTCTAAATATAATCCCCTTGTCTGGTTTATGAAATGCTAATGTGAAACCCCTCTTTCTTGAACTATCAAGACTATCAAACCACTGTGTCTAATTCATGTCTGTTGAGTGTAGCATTAGCAGCCCCAAGTACTCTGAGCAGCACCGTTACCATAAATGGCGGAGGCAGACGTCTGCGTCGTGGTTCATCAAATCTGCAGAACAGATTCTATTTGTGTGTGCACATGCATATCGACAGAGTCAGGGTGAATAAGTGTTTGTGTGGGGGGAGGAAGTGTACAGTGTGAATGCATGCGTTTCTGTTTCAATAAACGCTGCTTCTTTAGTTTCTGCCGCTGATTACTCATAAGCTCACACTTCCCTTGTATTTTGTTAAACATCTGGGTACTTTTTTATGTTGGGAGCCAAACTGACCCTAATTGTATTCAATACAATTCCTCAAAAATCACACCAATGACAACCAACCAACAACAGTTGTCAACTTTAACATGAGAAAAATAATAACATTAAAGAACATTACTCATAAACTTTCAATATTATAAATGGTATTTAAAAAAAAAAATTAAAGCTGCAAGCAGCGATGGGCGGGCCCTCGCACCTGTAGCACGTCGGGGTGTGAGGCGGCCGCGTTGCATTTTCTGCAGCTCAGCCAGTGCGGCTGTGCATTTGCTACGCTGCTTCGTTAAAGGTCACTTCCTGTTGCCACTAGGTGGCGCTATGACTGTGGGTGAATGTTGGCATGTAGATTTGTTCAGGGCGGGACTCTTGTTAAATGTGTAAAATTTCGTGCATATCAGGGCATTTACAGCCAAGTTACTACAACTTCCTGTTTCATGGCGAATCGTCAACGCCACGGACACTCCCATCGACGAAAATGCGCAGATAGCACAACTTTACATCGTCAATGCCTTTAGAAGGTACAGCAGAAATTTGAAATTGATCCGAGTAAATCCCTAGGAGGAGTTCGTGAAAGTACAGAGTGTGTAAATCGTCCCAAATCGGTCGCCAAATTCAAAATGGCGGACTTCCTGTCGAGTTTAGGGTATGAGTTCTTGAGGCTTTTTTGTGCGTCTTGAAATGATACACATCCCCACCAAATTTCGTGCATGTAGGTTGAACGTGGACGAGGGGCTAATTTTTTGCAATTTTCTAGGTGGCGCTAAGGAGCCATTTTGCCACGCCCATCCGCGAAACCCACAAAATACGAAATTTTTCACCAGTCCTGACATGCGTGCCAAATTTGGTGAGTTTTTGAGCATGTTGCGGCCCCGAAAATGGCGCTTACTTTGCAGAAAAAATAAAAAAAAAGAAAAAAAAAAATAACCCTAACAGTTTCAATAGGGTCCTCGCACTGTTAGTGCTCGGGCCCTAATTAAAGTTGTTTGGAAAAACACTTCTGTGTGCCTTGCCTTCCTAAAGATCCTGGCACTTGCAATGGTGAGATCACGAATACAATCCCCAGCAAAATTAACATGCAAGAACTGATAACTAAATATGCCTTGAATGCAAGTTTTTCAGATAAATGTGTCTGCCAAATACTGTACCCTCTGAGGGTAGTTAAGACACTGACATGTGTTTTTATTTCGGGTCTGTGGAGAATAGAAATGTTGTACGCACATTGCACAACACATTAAAGTGTTAACATCTTGCAGGCATGTTCATGACTCTAAAAGAAAAAAAGTCACAAAATGTCAAGAAAGGTTAAATGGTATTTCTGACAATTAAAAAAAAAATCGATATTGGCCAAATTGATCGTAAACGTAGTATACGGGTTTCTCGACTGGCTTCTTGTGCATTTTTGGAAACAAACTATGAAACTGAGAGCATGGCTGAGTGTATGCATGCATGTTTTTTTGTGTTAGATGCAGTAAACCGCTCTGTCAGTCATCGTAGGACAAAAAAGCTGTTTTTGCGGTCCAACCACGCGGGCAGCGTCCTGATGCACACACGTACTGTTTGCGGCAGTGGCGTCAAACTGATCAAAGGGACCGTTGCCGCCTCTGTCACATCAGAGTTAAGAGACCGACACAGAAGCATACACCCTTTCCCCCGGCACAAACACGTACCCATGTATGCACGTACACACAAACTCACACACATTTATAACTGGCTTGAGGATGTTTGTGGTTGATGTCCTCCCCATAGGAAACTGAGTGTGTGTTTGTGTGTAAAATAGTAACCTTGCTCTTGGGTCAGTGGGGTAGTCAAGAGGGATGTTAGTTGTTTGAAACTGGCAGCCAATGTTAATTGGGTGTCTTTTTTTTCCTGATGTCACAGAGCAGAGACGACGAGGAATAAGTAAACCATTAGTTAATTGTTTCTACAATTCCATTGTTGGTTTAGTCAATCCGTCCAGCAGTCCACAGTGAATGCGATTCTTTATTTAGTAGTATTCTTCATTTAGTCACCTTCATGTCATTCCAGATCTGTAAGACTTTCTTTATTCTGTGCAACACACACAAAAAAAAAATGTCAGAAGCATTTTATTTTTGTTCCGAATGATATGTGAAGTGGTCCTATGTTTTTTGGACCCCTGTGCTCTCCAAAATATATTTCACAGAAGACCATATGAAGATTTGGAATGGAAGAATATTCATATTTGGTTGATCTATTCCATTAAGTTAAGAGATACAGTTGCTATCTTGCAGAACTCATTTTATTTACATAATAATACTCTCTGGGGGTGTGAGTGTGTACATATTTACATCTGCTGTGCTGTATATCAACATGTGTTCAGACTGAGAAAATGTTTTCATGTTTTTGGCTGACTTTGACGTACTGTATCTGGGTGTTTGTGTCAGAGGAAAGGAAGTGTGCTCCATCAGTAGAATCATGCTGCCGTCTGTGATCTCTCTCTCTCTCTCTCTCTCTCTCTCTCTCTCTCACACACACACACACTTTTTGACCCTCCCACTCTCTTAGGACAGACTGCATGCTCTCTCTTTCCCTTTCCTCAGTCAACCTTCTTTCTGTTTCCATTCTCTCTCTTGCTTTCTCTAAAAGTTATCGGGTGAGAAAAGAAGACGACATTTGGATGATTTACACTCTTCCATCAGGTTGTACATTTCTCTGACTTCTCTTTTGAGGGCAGTTGTTGATCTCTAGAGTTAAGAGTGCAGTGCTGTGTCCTTCAGACTGTGATTTGTGTCAATGGTGCGTGTGGGAGAGTATGACGTGAGGTGTCTAATGATTCTCATGTTGTCTGGCAAATCATCTGCAGTTTAGAGACAGTACAGTGACTCTAATCTCATTGCTGGTTGTGACTGTCTGATTCTGTTATCAACTGTTGCTGCTGTATTGGGGTTGCATCGCCCTGCGGTTTGTAACTGTACAAATCCAGGTGTTGGTATCTGTATTATATTTATTTCAGGTTAAAAGTTTAAAGAGGATATGGCTTCTGTTGTTACCAGAAATTTGCCTCGCTCTGACAGTGAAACTCTAAAAATAGTGCACTAGCACATACACTTGTTTGTGTATGTTAATAAGACACCTTGTTATACCACAGAGTGAAATGAAAGGCTTTTATCAGAGTCAGTCAAAGCAAAAAGCAAAAGCTGCTATGTTTATAGACCACTGGCTGTGTGTGAGAGAGAGACCAGAGACTGTAATTTCGACCATAATGACAAAGAGATAACTCAAATATTTATATGCACAAGCTTCTGATTGTTGACTTGATATTTATTTATAAAAAAAAAGATAACTGTGATTGTAAATTCTGATTGCATGAGCCACATCTGAAGCCTAAATTGGTGATTTATTGTACAAGCAATATGGCATGAGAGGCTCTGATTGTAATCAAAGCTAAAGGCTAGTTAGGTAAGCGAATTTATAAAGGTTTAACTGGGATTTTACCATGGTTAAGGGTTTTTTGACACTTCCAGTTGGGGTTTTAGATACAACTGTTGTGCCTTAAAACTGATTTCGAAGTTACAAAAAACCCTGGAAGGGTAAAATCTGAAAAGTTTTCCCAAAGAAGTCTTTGAGAGACGAATAAATGAATGAACAGTGACAACATAGGAAGAAATGAGAGAGAGGAACAGTAGCTCAGACAGCGTTAAGGATTGAGACATGATGTTATAGGAACACTTACAGCGCATACTGTATATTATTATATTTTCTAGACATGTGCATGTTTTTAAAAGCAAAACACTTTTCAAATGTTTATTAATGTTTGTATGTGTGTATCTCAACTAATATTTTATTTGGATTTTGACAAATCAAACTTTTAATAAAATGCATCCTGATTTAGGAATTTACCCAAAACGTTTATTATGAATGAATCAATTTATCAGATGCTTTCAGTCCAAATTGGGTTATAATTGATGACAAACAAAAGCAATTAATCATAAGAACATACTGCTGCTTATACTATATACAGAGAAAACTTGAAAGGTTTAATAACAAGGATTTTTGTTTGCCAACATTTTTAATGATTAATATATATATATATATATATATATATATATATATATATATATATGTAAAATAGTTATATATTAGTTTATATATAATTTATTAATCTGTTCTGTTTGAAAAAAATCTGTTTGAATGAATAATTCAATGGCCCTGTCCCAAATGGCACCCTAAACAATCACGACTCGCGAGCAAACTTCTGAAACCTAAAATGACAACCTAATGGACATGCGCACGTGTAAGTCCATGGCAGCCATGTAAGTTCACAAGACCGAAAGTGCATATGAAGTGTGCCATTTGGGAGAGGGACTTCAATTATTTCATCAGCATTTTTGAATGATTGATACAATCATTATTTGAATCGCCAAATTAAATTCAAAGGGTGATTTTCTCTATTGATTTCTACCATAGACATCACTGTTCATATCCAAACTGTAAACTTTTACCACAGTACTTCTGTGATAATTTGAATCATTGTAACACCGTAATAGCAATACTGTTTATTAAATTTTTTCATACCTATTCATGACAACTTCTCTCTCTGGGTCAGTGGCAGTAGCGTCAATGCAGATTTGTATGTTCTGGTGAGATTTTGTCAAAGACACAGGTGAATAAGACCGCACACGTAGGTCTTTAATTGCGATCTTTAAACAATTAATCGTGCAGTTCTCTTACGAGAGGTTCTCTCGTATTGCGTAAGCTAGCTTACGCAATACTCGTTCCCTCATCTAGAGAGAACCGAGGTTACGTTAGGTAACCGATTCGTTCTCTTACGAGAGGTTCTCTCGTATTGCGTAAGCTAGCTTACGCTACGGGATTCTTCGCTACGGGAAAGATTCATCTTTGCTGAGAAGTTTTCAACTTCTCAACTTCTCAACTTCGAAGTTTTCAACTTCTCAGCAAAGATGAATCTTTCCCGTAGCGTAAGCTAGCTTACGCAATACTCGTTCCCTCATCTAGAGAGAACCGAGGTTACGTTAGGTAACCGATTCGTTCTATTATGTAGTGATATGAAGAAGGGAGTGTAATTATTTGAGCTCGTTTAAGGCATATGAATTAGAGTAAAATATTGTACCCCATTGATTTTGATTCCAAACTGTTCACATCTCAGATTTATTTGCGGTTGGAGACACAAGCTTGTTTTGAGTTTAATTAACAGGCTTGGTCAAAACTGCTGGGGATGTAGGTGCATCAAGGCAAATTATGCAAAAAATCTCTCTGAAAGCTGTGTTTGCCAAATTAATAGGCATCTACGGTAATCACGTAATTTTTGTCAATTTGCAGAAAAGCTCAAATAAATCAGGACGAAGGTGTATGATTTAATTATCTCATTGAATTACACTTTGAAAATGAAAACAATATTCTGCACCTCTTATAATACTGTATGCCATCAGTAAGAGAATAGAAATTATGGGTAGACTCGTCGAGAAATCTTTGCTCACAAATTCAGTTGTAACCTACATGCGCCCTGAAGTGATCGACAACGCCGAGGTGATGGAGAAGAGGTCGCAACTGACTCATCCACTCAGAAACACACTGAATTGAGTATTTCAATGAATGTAGTTTCACTGAAATTCACAAAGGGATTTCAGAAAAGGGTCACAGCAGCCCTTAAGCACACACAATGGGTTATTTTTATGGCACACACTTCACAAAGCTGAACTGTGATGTTGAGACTGAGGCAAGGTCAGAGCTTCACATGTATAGTGAATGACCTACAACAACAAGGCAGAATGCAATCATGGTCACCAGAAAGCGACTGCTACAGATGAGCATTTTTAGGAAGCCACTGACAGCTAAAACCAACAACCAAAAGTAGGCGTCAATCTCATCAGTGTGGCTCTGCTAGCTTGAGTCTCATCTAACTTTTCTTTTCCGTCCTAAAAACCTGTGTGTAGCTATTGATCAATTTTACTTTCTCACTTCTCCTTCAACTTGAAAGGCCTCCTCTCATCTCCTTTCTACTGGTAGATTAGTACAGTCTCCCTAACAAGCACAGATGTGGCATTATCTCATGCACTTTTGTCGACAAGTGTGAAGGTTAGCACAAATAATCTGTTCCTGTGTGTGTGAGAGAAAGTGACACAGAGACATTTCATATCCCAATACTGTCTCTGTGCTCTCATGTAAATATTTACTCGAGCTGAAGCGACTCTCCCTCCCTCTCTCTTTTCCCCTTCTCTCTCCCTCATTCTGTCATGTCTGTGAGCTATGGTAAACTTTAAGGGATGTGATTAGGGCGAAGGGTGTTTAAGTGAGGTTTTACACTGTAAAGCAGTACATTTATATTTGTACAGTAAATGACCATTGCAGCTTTTTTATGTTTCTGAAAATATGTACATTACCGGGTTTTTCCGATTGGTCAAAAAGGGAACTGCAATAACACAGGGGAACACAATTCACATTTCACATTTATTTACACACTGATGCAGGATGTGGCATGGCAGGGTGATGAAGACATTTCTAAAATGGAATTCGGGACATTTAGTTCATTGTTATCTGTCAATGGAAAAACTAAAGGAAATCCATGTTTGATTTTTATAAAATTGTGTGTTGAATAAACGTTTAATTAATAATGGTAGAATGCTGTTATATACTATTATTGTAAATAATAATTATGCTATTAATAGTATGCATATACTAATAGCATGCATTTAGCATGTATGCATTTCCAAATAACAAACAGATCAAAACAAAATAATAGAGCAAATTATGACTTTACAAACACGCATTACAAAAATATTATAAAAAACACATTACAAAAATGTAACATAATAATTAAAACCACTGTATTTGAAAAAAATATTTGTACGTTTTCTAATTGCAATATATATATATATATATATATATATATATAGATAGATAGATAGATAGATAGATAGATAGATAGATAGATAGATAGATAGATAGATAGATATACGTAGATAATAGATACAGATAAAAAGATAGATAGATAGATATATAGATACAGATAGATAGATACAGATATATATATACAGCAGGACACCAAAAAACAGGACCACATCTCTACATATTATTTTTCAGTGACCCATAAATCCATAACAGTGTCTATAGTGAATATGAGTGAGTTGAATGAGGGGTAGACAACTGACCGCAGACAGTTTTAAGTGCTTTCTCTTTCCCATGGTCTGGGGTACAGCCCGAGAGGGACCAAACTGTCACAATCACGCACATCTCACACACAAAATCCCTAATGACAAACAAATTGTTCAGCTGCACACAGAGACTTCAGAATCCCAAAGGATTGACACAGATGTGCTTACACATGCAGTCACATGCAGTGAAGCTTAACTCACAATAGATTACTTAGTTAACTTTTTGAATTGGTATGAACTGATGTTTGTGTCTATCCTGCTACAGGCTTTCTGTGAGCTTTCAAATACTGGTTTATTCAATGTTCAAATTATTTAAAGACCACCATACCGTAGCATTGAGTAGCTCAAGCTCAACAACTGCTGCATCTATTCAATGGCCACGAAGAGTGCTTTGAGAGGGGACTTCTATTAACTTGTTGCCATTTAAAGGGATAGTTCACCCAAAAATGAAAATTCTGTCAGTTTTTACTCACCCTCATGTTGTTCCAACCCCGTAAGACCTTCGTTCATCTTCGGAACACGAATTA